TGCGTCCAACATTAATGGACGTGCGCGTCTAGGTTCGGCTGTTTTTATTACAGCACTGCAAAAGTTAATCGTAGCGTTGCTACTATCTGATGATTCATCAGATTCAACGATGCGCAATCCGTTGATTGCGACTGTTTCAATTTTGTCCGGCGGTTTGGGCGGAATCGGGTCGGTAAAGCCGGAATTTACCGCCCCTCCTCGTTTTCCTGATCGGCCAGGCCCGAGAACGGATTATTATCCGGCAACGGTGATCCAGGTGTCGGACGTATCCGATCTTCTACTGGGCCGGTACTCTGGCGAGAACTACTTCTCTGCCTTGCCGGCGAATTAGGTTCGCTACCTGACTGGCTGCTATTACGGCGCTGGTAGAAATCGGCGGCATATCGCCGATTTCCAGTCTTCGGATCGTGATAGGCTAGGTAGGTTGGGTTCTCACATCGCGGTTTATCGCGAAACTGACATTCACGGAAGTAATGCCCGCACAAATCACAGTGCTGGCAGTACTTCACTACTCTGTTGCCGCGCAAAGTTTTCTGCAAGGCCGGTGACCGATCGGTCGCTTCCTGGATTCTACTGATATTGTTCGCCCACTGCTCTTTACGAGACGGCGCACGATTATCTTCCCCGTTATTTCGGCTATCGCTGTTCTCAGCTTTGCGGATATTACTACGAATATTGCCGGTATTATTGTTACGGTTACCATAACTCGGTTTCCCACTGTTCTTACTGCTTGGCCGCGGCGGGCTAGCCGCCGCTGCCGCGTACGATTTTGGTTGGACTTGTGCAGTTTTGCACATTGACTACATCGGCATCTCTATCCTGTTTGCGTCGGACATTCCCGACTGGGATGACGTATTTTTCCGGATTATTAGACGACAAATACCGTAATATCTCGAGAAATCTCTCGGGGGTATCAGGTCGCATGACTTCCATTTTATCGTGAAGCTTTTCATGTGATTTTAATCCGCGCATAAAAAATGACACGAATTGTTCAGGCGTGCCATTAAACCCAGCGCGATCGCGTAAAGTCATCATGGCCTGATAGTAGCTTTCCAGGGTTTCCTGGCCAGGGCGGTAGTTACGATTTGTTAGCTCTGCTAACGCGTTAACCGATCTTTTAGAATCGCCAAATCTGGCGATTAATTGCTGTTTCCATTCACGGTATGTTGTGGGTGCAGCGTTTGAAGTGATCAACCCGTTGTACCACACAATGGCTTCATCTTTCAAGCAATATGCCAACTCCGTTATTTTTCTCTCATCTGTAGTCCACCGATTAGCGGTGGCTGCATGATCAAATTTAATTATAAAACTATCGATGTCTTCTTTGCTCGCATTGTAGCTCGGGCGCGGCACGGGCTGTCGCATCACTTCAGCCAAGTCCGATTTCCTCACAGGACTTACCGTCCTGCTTTGTGCGATGCCTGCTCGTTGAATCTCTTCCCGCAAAATACTGCGGAGATATTGCTGTTTATCAGCACTCGGCATTTCCCGGGAACCACTCTCGTTCATTGCCGAGGGTGTATGCTGTGCCCGAGACAATTGCGTCTCTTCGGTATTTGCGGCGTATGCCCTGCTAAGTGGTCGCTCGCCGTATTCTACGGCTTCTGGGTTCATTTGTCGATCGTATAACGTTCGATAATCCTTTGCTAGAGAGTTAAATTTCCCAATTAGGGATTTATGTTCGGTCTGGCTCTCGTGCAGCATAGACTGCAGATGGGTTATCTCCCCTTTTTGATGAAAATTGTCAGTTTTCACCCTTTGATATTCCTTCCACGTTTGGTCTAGGGCTGTATCTTTTTCAGCTAATTGCTGATTCAAATCGGAATTTCTAGCGCGCAATTCATCTGTTTTTTCCTTTAATTCGGCGATCGCCGTATCCTTTTTGCCTATTAAGGCTCGTAAGCCCAGTACGATCTTCTCCATATTTTTAAAGGAATTATGAGCGTGTTGATACTGATTCTTATGGTGTTGTGCCTCATCTTCGGCTACTTCTAACTTCCTTTGCAGATCTTTGATCAACACTGGATTCGCCGTAATAGTTTCGGTCGCTTGCTTCAATTCTACAATACGGGAACCTGTTGTCGACTTAGCCGCAGAGTTCAACAATTCGTTTAAATCAGCAGTATATGATTGCGCCTTACGCAATGTACTCGGTATTACTGTCACGGGTTCGTCTTCTTCTTCCGTCGTTGCGGACTTATTGAGCTCACTTTCGCTTACTTGAGAGAACGACCCCGTTGTGGCCGTCGATTCTGTTGTACTATCTGATCGCTCTGGCGCTGCTGCGCGTTCCTCTTCCCGATTATCGGGATTAACCTGTCGGACTTTATCTGGAGTTAACGGCCTAAAGAACAATTGTTCCGGCGGTTGCATTAATGGTGTGTCAAGGAGATTATCTCCTTGATCCATTACGGTAGCTTTCCTCGGTTTACGAGGTTTATCTTCAAGGACTTTATGGGTGATTTCCACACAATTCGTTTAAATCAGCAGTATATGATTGCGCCTTACGCAATGTACTCGGTATTACTGTCACGGGTTCGTCTTCTTCTTCCGTCGTTGCGGACTTATTGAGCTCACTTTCGCTTACTTGAGAGAACGACCCCGTTGTGGCCGTCGATTCTGTTGTACTATCTGATCGCTCTGGCGCTGCTGCGCGTTCCTCTTCCCGATTATCGGGATTAACCTGTCGGACTTTATCTGGAGTTAACGGCCTAAAGAACAATTGTTCCGGCGGTTGCATTAATGGTGTGTCAAGGAGATTATCTCCTTGATCCATTACGGTAGCTTTCCTCGGTTTACGAGGTTTATCTTCAAGGACTTTATGGGTGATTTCCACACCTGCTCCTTTCAACTGATTTGTTTTGCTGCGGGTAACTTTGTCTTGTTGTACAGTATCGCTCGTGCCAGCCTTTGCTGGATCGTGGGTTATCCCTTTCAGTACTTTACTAGCTGATTTTAGGACGTCCTCTACGCCCTGTTTCAGCCGATCAATAGCTGGTTGTTTTCTTGGCGGTGAACGATTTACGGGCATTATGCCGTTAACATCTATCTCTATTAAAAGGTAGAACTCAGGGTTAAATTCTAGACTTATTTCCGAGCAAGTTTACGCACTATCCCCACTGCATTGTGGGTCAATGTATCTCAACGTGTCGCTGCTTTGCAGCCTGTAACCAAAATTTGGCCTGGGCGGCTATGAATAGCCTGCTCGGCTCGGCTCTATTGTTCTCCTCCTCTCTCTTTCGAAGAAAATATCTGCTGATAAAATCAGCGAGTGTTTTGACTTTTCCGATTGCGGAACGGTCGTTCCGTCACAACTAGAATATCGTCAATATACCGGACTAATGGTTGCACAAAAACGACAATTATCGCGGGTTCCGTCATTGTCGTTCCATTAAAAGGAATATTAGAACAACCGTTCAAATACCACTGCAATTCTAATGACCCCTAAAGAAGGACAATTTACGAGAAATAATTCTCTTTACAGGGCAACCTTCCAAAGTTTATGGCAATAATCTAACCAGATTTATATCCTTCCCTTATACGGGAGAAACTCGTTATTTTACAGAAACGTGGACGTCTAGGTTATTGTAGAAATAATCTACATGTGATATCCGTACTGTATAACACAGTATGCTTACAATATCGAATTGTTCCTGGGTTCTTCTCCTTGCTGGCGGCCGCGTGCCTTCCGAACCAGCGACGCTTCGTGCTTCGGTTCTGTGGGAGAGTTCTCCTGCTTTTGCTGCTCTTTGCTGGCTATCGCTGATGGACCGTGGTCTCCACTGGAGGTGAGGAAACCCAGCGCGATCGCGCAAACTTCCGTGTTATGGCGTGTTCAGTGTAACGCCGTTATCGAGTGCGAAAAGCTAAAGAGGATGACAGGAATCTTGAGGCATCTCCACCATCTCGGAGAAGCGTCTACGCTGTACAGAGAAACGACAACGGAAACAACATCTCCTCGAAATAATCGCTTTATTTCACCGAAATAAAAGCTAATCAACATCGAAATAAAGGGAAAAAAGGCATGAAACCAAAATATGCTAGGAATCGATGTTAACGGTTCCGAAGCTGGCACTCGAATGGCAAACACGATCAGTCGTGTTTGAGAAGCTGGCGGATGGCAAGCCGAGCCAATGATGGTGAGGCGCATGTGCCAATATCCTGTGCTATATGCGCAGCACTCTGACACTACTCATCTTTGACATAATATGATTAGGGTCATATGTGGCATCAGTTTAATGTTTGCTATCGAGCAGGTAAAAGCGGCTCATTCCGTTCCAGCGAATCCCCATTGGGCACACAATTTTGTTTGGCGAACGCTTTGTTGATTTTTTCTTCTGCTCCTTGGTGGTTAACAGTAAATCAGGAATGTGATGTATATCGTGTATACCCTGCACTTCGCGATGCAGTACATACATACTACTTTCACATACATCACAGTTCCGGTAACACGAAAATAATGAATTGCTGCACCACTGGCAGAACTTGCGACAACTACCTATAATTAATTTAGTGGACTGACTAATGGGGCTGACACAGTCACAAATGTGTATTACGTACTTGGTGAAAACAGAAAACATTCTTATTATTGATATGATTGTGATTAATTTGTGATCCCATTTTCATATATTCATTACTTGACACCGTGATATAATAGTATTGCGGTTGTACCGCAGTTTCAAATACTTAATTATCGCAAAATCGGTAAAATACATTCACTCAAAGGGGTCAACGGTAAGAAAGCATGCATGAGACAACTTGCTAGAGGACAGCATTTCATCGAAATGGCAAGAACATTTATCAATCATTCGGTAGCAATAAAGCGATATATGTTTTGACGTCACTTTAATTACCAACGCGTTAGCTGCAGATATCCGGGTGATCGTGGTTGCGGAAGTTATTAGAATTAAGCTGTCAACCCTTTTAACTTCCGAACGCTAATTAACAGTACTTGCGTGTATCAAAACCTCAACGCTTTATTAACACCAACATTAAATTACAGCATTCGGAACACTTCAACTAACATCTTTGTGGCGGTATCGTAACGAGAAAAGCTTTGTGAGTTATTCGCTCGTTGTGAAGGGTGCCGCATAAGCAGACTCGCGAGATTGTCGTGGTTCATACAACACTGTGCGGCGTTCTTGAGAACTGTAGTAATCGTAAACGACAATGCTCTGCATTCTCAAATGCTCCACTCGGTAAACGCGGTACATGCTGAGAATGAAGCACTTTGTCTTCGAAGTTGTCTGCAAAAGAATGAAGTCGAACTGAAGTTACTGAATTAGCATATGAGCACGCGGTAGAACTTAGTTGGTAACTTAGTACCTCCTGGAATACAGATTCAGTACGGTGTTCGTTTTTTCCAGTTGGGTTTTCCGCAATTCTTCCACAGTTCGACGAAGATGGATATTGCTTCCCCGTTAAATTCGTATCCAGAGAGTGCATTGACCTCGACAACCGTCGTACTCGCGCCATATTTCTCCTATCTGAATACATTAAAAACGTTTTTAACAAGTGGTAAACCGAAAAGTGACACACTCGGTGATATAGCATCGTCCTTACTTAATGCACAGATCCAGACGCGATTTCTTGGAAGAAGATGGAATTAGAGTGGCGTTGATGACAAAGGTTCCATACTCTTTGGGCTGCAGCGTATTAAACGTCCATCTGCCACGGCCAACCCGCTTCCTTTGACATTTATAGCAATTTCTTGTGGCTTTTCCGCAAATTTCATGCTCTGCACCAGCAAAGCTGTCTCTGCTGTGATACTAAAATCGCTTTTTTGAATGCCATTTATCACTTCGATTTCTAATGACGGCAAACCATGCAGAACCTGTGCAAATTTGGAGAGTGCTTCCAGTGCGAGGGGAGTATCCTACAAAGAATGTTGTCGTAAACAGTAAATCTTTCTAAATACTGCTTCAAATATGCTCACCGTGACGAAAAAGAATCCACCTTCGGCGTTCTGCTTCGGCGCGAGCCAGGCTGCAATTTTCAATGACGCGTCCAGTTCCTTATTGGCTAGAAATGTAAGGAGAGCATAAGCTGTAGCTTCGACATCTTTCGAACTGGTAGAATATGAATTCGCTGCGTCTTTATCGACATCATTGTTAGCTCCGTTGGTAGTCCAGTGATTACTAGACTCATTATGCACCATCCGCTGTTTTAACAGGCTCAGTGCATCGGCCCTTTTTGGACTGTTGGCTTGAGTCAGGGCATCGCTGGTAACAGCCAACGTGTACGAATCGTTTTTAATAAATTCCAGTTGCAGTTCCAGGTACTTGACTGCCTTTTGCAAGGTCTTATCCAGTTCAATGCTGCCGGCGGCTGAGTACTGTTGTACTGCAGAAACGAAATAACGACGATGGCGGTTCCAGAAATACGTCACAAGTCATTGTGATCGTCCGCGATGTTACCTACCGTCCACCATCGTACGCCGGCAGAACCATACTATCGAGGTGGTCATGTATAACTTCATGGCAAAAAACCAAAATGTCACTGTTATGCTGGAGATGCACTATCCGGACAACACCACAGCGTCCTTCATGCAACATGTCGCTTCTCAGCCAGAAGTACCAGCAGTCGCTATCTTTAACATAATGCCGGAAAATGTTGGTGACGTGCGCGTTAAGGTTACAGCAAAATCTGAATTGGCGTCCGACCAACTGGAATGAATCCTTTCAGCCATATAACGTATTGAACGTCGAATTCTGATGTGGTATGACTGTAGTTGCGATGCCAAACGACAATCGCAACATCAAAAATTCCTTTGACAGGCTTGCCAGATGAGTACCTTGTAAAATTCGAAGTTAGCTATCAATACAATAATTTTTGCTAGGCAAAGTACGACAATATTGCGGTTCGTTCTTATATTATTTGGTAACCCGCTAACCATTGCTTTTGTCCAAAGAGTGCCTTTTAGCTTACGTACAGTGCGTGCGCAACTGCCGGTAATATGGACACAAACAATCATGTGATATAGCAATCAGGACACAAACATGTGTATACCGTATCAACTATGACTGCAGCTTTGCTTTTGCGTTGCATAAACCGTAATTTTCGCCTATAGGTATCCGAGACCAGCTATAGGACAACACAGAACTACCAAAGGATCCACTATTTTATCGAGAGTTAAATTAGAGTTTCAAAGCCGTAACCTAAGGAGCGGCCGGCAACCAGGACACGGAAACTTACTTTGCCGATACTTTGAAACGAATTTCCTTATCCACCGACGGAACGATGTTGGTTTTGGCGTCGGTAATTGTAACTTCAAATCGCGAGGAAACTAAAATAATTTAAAGTTTTAGCTGATCCAAGGAATGACGGCTAATTACATAAACTTTACTGAATTCGTAAACGAAGAATGGTTTGATGGCCAGAATGGGATTCTTGTTATAAGGAATGAAGCATCCGAAGATGTTCATACAATCAGATGGTGCCGGTGTTGTCTATAACGTCAAGCATTTTTATAACATTTCATGTGGTTCTAAATTTGCACGAAAAATGAAAATGTACGAAACAAAAAGAAAATTTGCATGTTCTAAGGAAAAATGATGGATACAACCGTATAAAACAAGAATCTGCCTTTTACCGGTTCCGGAGCTGGACATTCACCAACGGAAGCGTTCACCACGCGAACTCTCCACTCGCCCAACAGGGGATCCGCGGATAATGACATCTCGCCGGCAAAATAACCAGTAGCTAGCAAAAGGAGAAAGCCAAACTTGCAAGTGAATTTCATGTTGATCCAGCTCAAACTATCAACCTTCGGAGCCGTTGTCGTTGTTGAACTCTTTAACCACGTTATCAAGCGGATCCTGTCACAAGCCAAAAAAGATAACATAGTGGACGCTATGCCTAGTTACTATCGCTCGTTAACCATAGTACTAACTAGTAACCCTAGTACGTACCACAATCTGGACGTTAAGCCGCACAAACATAGGCTGTTGCCGATCGTCCACGCTTCTGGCGGACACAACGCGAAAGCGCACTGTATCTCCTGCTTGGCACTGCGGCTGGTCCGTTTGTATGAGAATTTTCGGGAACAATGCGTCCCGGTCTTCTACAGGTTTGCGCACTGCAGCGTTCCAGTAAATATTTGGATATGCGGCGGAAAAGGCTGCCGACGAGTCAGCTCCGTTAATGTATAGCGTCATATTATCGGCTGTCATAGCGGAGAGATCACCCACCTAAATAAAGGAAACACTTTTCGTAAGCAGAAATGAAGATGTGCGGTACGGTTGAAGTTGCATGGCGCGTGGCAAGTACGATGCAGTGCAGGCTGTTCTAGGAAACCAATAATTGACTGAACATATGAAGTACGATAACTGCATAAATAAACCGGTTTACTGAGCAGTTGCGACAATGGTGCGACACCGCTTGTCGCGTATCCGTAGATTCCGTACGCTTTATATGCGAGTTCTGATTTTTTCTAATTTATAATATTGAACGCTCGCTTGCGCACTGCGCAAGGGTCAAGCTCATTATTGTTCAACATTGTAGAAATATGCAGATTTAGCGTATGTTGTTAATCGTTACACGAACGAACAAAGGGAGGTATGCGAGTCGGTTATATCTGATGAAATACTTATTAATCACACAATCACGTACACTGATCTCTAGCGTGGTCAAACGTTCGTCCTGTATTAGGGCGGAAGAGGAGAACACCAATTGGCCGGCGTGCCTGTTTTCAAAAAAACATTGTTGTTTCCATTAGCAACCCGTAAGCACCAAGCAGTTAATAGAAAGAGAAGTTTTCGGATACCGCTGTCCGACTAGAGCCATGTCAATCTTCACATCCGACGTAGCATGGAAAACCAAAATTGAGACGGGAAATGGTCTGCCAGGTTCAACGCCACCCAGTCCCAGAATGACATAATCGAGTCCGCTTACGAAACCCGAGCAAAGACCAAGCACGATGACGAGTATACGCACAGCCGGCATTGTTTGGAGCTCGGATGAACTGCACACAGAGGCCATTATGCTTCTAACAGGCGTAGCTCACTGCTGATTGCAGTCTCCATACTAAACCACTGACTCGGAAGAGCATCGCTGCAGAAGAAGTTTTGCTGCATAAAGCAGCACGTTCAACTTTCGGTAGCCACAAGGTATCACGTCGCCTAATTGCCGGAACTCGTCTGCACCTGTAATTTATCAGTGGCTTTGTGGGCAACGGCATATAGTGGCATCCGGTAGATTAGTCATCGGCGAAACCGGCTAAGGTTAATAAACGCAATTAGAAAGCCGAGAGATTCGGTAGAAACAAGGACCGCCTTATTGCCAGCTTTGCCACACAGCAAGTACACGTACTCTGCTATAATGTGCCATGTCTTCGTTTCTTTTCCATTAAAAGCGGGAAATTTAACTGTTATGAGTAGTTCACTGTCATAAACGGATGACAACTGTTATCATCGTATCGAGCTGACCGAGTATAATCACGGTGACTATTAGGCTAGTACAAATATGAATTGCATACTGTACTGCGCAAACAAACTCACAAAATAGCGCTCGTAGCTTCTCTGGGCTGTCGCCTCGTTAGCGCGATCATTTCAAAGAAAAACCACACAAAGCAGCTTTTTAAATAAACTCTGAAATTGTAATAGCAAAACACGTCTTATGGAATGACTGAAAGGATTCTTTCCAGTTGGTCGGACGCCAATTCAGATTTTGCTGTAACCTTAACGCGCACGTCACCAACATTTTCCGGCATTATGTTAAAGATAGCGACTGCTGGTACTTCTGGCTGAGAAGCGACATGTTGCATGAAGGACGCTGTGGTGTTGTCCGGATTGTGCATCTCCAGCATAACAGTGACATTTTGGTTTTTTGCCATGAAGTTATACATGACCACCTCGATAGTATGGTTCTGCCGGCGTACGATGGTGGACGGTAGGTCGAATGAAATGAGAAGCGGTCGAAGCACGTGTAGCTGTAATCAAAATGAAGTTATCGAGGTTTTTCGAATTCCCGCAAAACCCCTCGACTAACTTTGAATGGCTTCGTGGACACCGTTAATCCTGTTGTGTTGCTCAGGCTGAAAGCCGAAATCTGCCATGTGCCGATAGCATCCGGTGCTTTACTTTTTATTATTACATTCCCGTTAGCTCTGCGGAGTATAAAAATTTTAAAGCACGATAGCCGATGGCTTATACAACTAATTTCCTTTGTACACCTACTCTGCTACAGCGGATGTGAAAAGGAAACTGGAGTGAGTTTTGTCGTCAAACTGCGGTGATAACGGCCAATCCGGATAGTGGAATTTGTCGTCCCATGAGCGACCGAAGGTGCCATCAGGCAGAAGAAAAAACCGTTGTTCCCCACAGCCTGGTCCCACGTCGCCACCAATGCAATAGTTCTTATATTCCCATAATTTTGTTGATATATTGGATGTGGATAGGTTGGTGTTGGTTAAAAGAACTGGCGTACGGGGCCGGTATCCAGCGGTCTCTGAAATTGTATGATTTTTACTGGCTTGGCAAACTAGTCTGTTACGAGGACGATCGGTCGCCACTAGCTGAATTCTAATTCCTTGAACATTACGTGCCGCCGGAATATTTTGAGTACACCAAAGACCGGTGTCCGATCTTGTTCAGAGGTGCATTCCAGCTTTTTTAATCTTTATTAAACTGACTTTTCTAGCAAAATGTATGACGAGCCTTGTATAGCAACATACCATAAAACGGTCCAGAACCGACAACAAAAACTGGGGATTCGGTTTTCCCGGTTTTCTTGTGAGCTTGACCTACAGATGCAACGTCGACAAGCCCTAAATAATTGATTAACTCTCAGCAAGAAACGCCACGTCTACGCACAACTTCAGCCGTTATATTGGTGCCTGGATTCTTCCGCAACGTATTCTCATCCACGGCGAGGAAGGCCACCGTGGAAAACGGACTGGCGTGTGCCTGCACGGTGATCTCTTCCCCGGGCTGAGCGTACTGCAAGCCACTCTTGGTTGCGACAGATACGGTAACCTAGGGAAAACACTGCGCTGGCCAACTGCTTTTCATTTTAGCGACGTGAGTAATCAGTGCAGTTTACCTTGGATGGTTTCTGGTCGTTCTCAACTGTCAGCTGCATGATATCGCCAACAAGATCACCGTCACTGCGGACATAGTAAGCGAAGAGACGTCCTGTTGATCCCATTTGCTCCATCATTGGTACGCTAACCGTTACACGCGGACCGGGATTCAAGATGGATGCGGTCCAGAGAAAACTGGGATCGGAACTTGACAACACCTACGACGTTATGCTGACGCTCTCTATACAGTTTATTTCGCAGTCAGCATCGGTTATGCGTTCAAAAAGAATGACGGTCAGGATTGGCATACCAGAATATGAACTGGTTCCATGCTCCTATCCGTGGTGTCAATAAAAAACACCGCCTCCTTCCCAGTTCGCAATTCCGTCGTGACCTGGCTGATCACCAGGAAGCTACCGCTCCGTGATTGTTTGCCAAAGGCCATGTGAAACGATGGATACAGGCGCGGTGTTTGATTCATGTAAGAAACTCTGACCACCAGAAAATCCGCGTTGCGAGGCGTAGGAATATCAAGGCTGATGGTTCCGTCGGAGGCTACATTTGCCAGCCATGTTGTGGGAGGATCGCAATCCCGGTGAACAGATAAAACCCAAAAGGTAAAATCCATAGGATTAAAATCTAAGAGCAAGGTTCAGTTTGCTTCCTTTACGGGTTGTTATCGCAGCTACAACAGCAAAGTATCTATAGCGTTCCAATACGCAATTGCTTCTATTGTCATGATAAAAATACTGTAGTATTACCTGATGCGGTGCCGCCAACGAACATTGGAGGCGTCACCAGCCCAGCACAGCGCACGTCGCCTTGGAACGATAGTGGCGACCATTGTCCCGCGCCGTTGTATTTGAAGTAGTGCGCAACTACTTCCGCTTTCGTAGTGCTGAGCGGCGGCGGCCGGCCGTCGTAATCCAGAATACGCACCGATATGCGATAGGGAAATCCCGGTGTGAATGTGTAGGGCTTCTCTGTGATTATGGACTCCAGCGGCTCGTCACCGAAATGGACTCGATATCGTTCAGGCGTAAAGTACACAGCAGCTCGGACAGCGCTTTCGGTTGTGCCGGTCGCCGCTTCCGTGAAATTTGCACGAATTATTGCTGTGGATAACCAGCTTGCGCCGCTCGACAGTTGCTGCAGCGGGACTAACCCGGATGCTTCACCATCATTGTTCTAAAAATGTCTTCACTAAATGAAACATGAACGTGAGATAATTGTTTTAATTTCAGCTTACTGCAGGTATGGATATGTTCCATACTGATAAGTACTGAGTTTCATCGCTCAGGCTGCTTTGAGACTCGGACGGTCGGAGGGCGGCAATGTCAAAAACTCCCTTAACTGGTTCCCGTCTTCCGGATGCGTAGCTAGTATATTAAGAACTGTTAGAAAAATTAATTATACATATATATTACAGGAGATGCATATCATCCGATTTAATACAAACTAATCTCGGTACCAAATATCTGCAATAACTCTATCGACGAAATACTTGGTAAGATATGCAGAACTCAATATTTTGAATATTTTGGTGAAAATGAGCTTTCCTGAGTTTCCTCGGTCTCTGTATGACTTAAATGGTTCGAGTATTGTTTGGACAAAATTTATACCGCAGTTTAAAACTTTGGTGAGCTATGTGGAAAGCCTGAATGAGAAAGTTGAGCAGCTGACGGCCCTCAACAAGGCTCTGACAGAGCAGTTGGTTCAGCACGTGAACGGGTCCTGTTCTTCTGTGGCTCATCCCCCACCTGATGCATCTCAATCTTCAGATAATGTGGAAGCGATTGATAAAATTATTGAGGAACTGTGTGAAAGAGTGTTTCTGGTTGAGTGTGCAGTTGGTCACCAGTGGAATGGGATGGATGTGTACATGAAGGAAGACCCCGATTATGTGCAAACTGTGGACGAACATTTTGGAGTGACAGACTATTCAGTAGACATTCCTGGCTTGAAGCAAGCGGGTAAAGTCTGGAGCCCTAAGAGGATTGTCCCTGCGAAACTCGGAAAAGGACAGCTTGCCCAGTCACAATCGAAGAACCCCACCACATCCACGAACCATCCTACACTGGCGATGAAACCACAGTCTTACGCATCCGTTATCACGAAGGCACCGAAGGTTGTGCGTGGCACGCGTACTGGAACGAGTGAGGGACCCTCGAGAGAACTGACGGAAACACTACAAGCCAAGCACCAGCCACATGCGGACTTTTGTGTGAGAGGTATCCCACGGGTCAAGGATTCGAAGTTTGACAGTGTTAAGGACTACAATGCGTTCATTGCCAAACAGCTGGAAAATGTAGGAATTCCCACAAGATTTGTGAGTGTATACGTTCCTGCTCGTGGAGATAGACGGTCTTCCACGTTTGCCCGCATTGGTACGTTTAAAGAAATGGCGAAAAAAATTATGGAACCTGAGATTTGGCCAACAAATGTGTTTGTAAGGGAGTGGGTGTACTGAGTTGTGTGTGTCGTGGTGTTTAAATACGCTACAGCATTCTTGTTTAAAGCTTGATCTGTAAACTGTGTATTCTGGAGAATTGTTGCTGTTGTGAGTGTCTGCTGCCTCGAATTGGGATTCTTCCCTGAATGTGTGCGGACGTTAACCATTAAACTAACTACATATCGGTCATTTCAAATTGCGGCTTTTAGTTTGATTACTTTACAGCGACGTTAAACGGGATTTCGTTGTCCAGGGAGAGAGTGAAGTATTTCCTTGGAGTAGTGATATTCACGTGAAATGGCGGCACAACTGTAAGGAGCCGTTGTTAGTTTCGTGTTTGCGTATCGAGTGCCATAACATGGCTGATCTCACCATTCGGCAAGGTTTTGTTTGAATGACCGGATTCATCGGCTGCCTTATGACTTTGAGTCGGTTCTTGGACCACGAATGTCGTACTGGTCAGAACGGGATCTGGTTCGTGTACGCCGTCCACATCCCAATTACATCCAAAAAGACAAGGATATTCCCAGGTTGGGGATATTCCTGTGGTCTGCAGCCAAAACCCAAAAAATTTAATGGCACGTGTTATTTGACGGTGCATTTTACAGCGGACTTTGTTTGGACTTTGGACAAAACAGAGAAACCAGTGAACACTGGCAAAACATTAACATTCCCCGAAGGTATCGTTGGTAAAACTACCTACTTCGATGCGCATTTATCGTACTGACCCAGATTTGTCCGCTGCTGCTCACTTATCTGTATGTTATACACGGTTTTTCCGCATTTCAAAACGGCGGACAGAGTGATACGCCAATGCATAACGACGGACACGCTATACACGTAGCGCACAAATGGAATGTACCCTTGGAGTTACCGTTTCAGGGACAGGATATTCTCTAGACGCATTTATCACACGGATTGTCCACGTCCCCAGCAATGGATCCGAGGTTAGTTGAATCTCGCCAGCAAAGTAGCCAATTACTAAATAAAGCCTTTTCGTTACCGGTTATCCAAGCGCTTGCCAGTAGATTCGGTAAGATATTGAATTGTAATAGTTGACCTTCCGTGCTGCTGCTGATGTTGTATTGTTTAACAACATTGCCTTGCGGATCCTGTCACGAAAAAAACGCTAAGAGTAATCGTTGGAAACGTAAAATCGCAGCACGTACCACAATCTGAACATTGACCGGTATAAATACAGGCCAAAGTTGGTAGTTGACCAACTGCACTGTCACAACACGAAATCGCACTGTTCTGTTGGCGGTGTACGTCGGTTGATCGGTCTGCAGCAGGGTGCGGTTAGTGGCAGGCGGTGCTCGTGCGGCCTTCTCGATTCTTGCTGTCGTGTCGGACTTGATCTGAACGGGCGGTGCATACATGGCGTGGAAGAATTCCGAAGAGTCGGATCCGTTGATGTGCAGCGTAAAGTTCTCGGTTATAGCCGGTGAAAGGTCACCAACCTAAATAAAGGAATTATAGAATGGCAGTCGTTTCGATTTATTGAACGTGCTCACATTTCCATAATTATGTTCGACAATGTTCAGTTAGCTTGCAAGCGACTCGGTATCACTAAAAGAGATTCGTCTATAAAGTGCTGGCACTTAAATCTGTCCTTATGATTGTAGTCTTATAATTTTGTTGTAACTATACAACATTAAATGTTGTATAGATTTTATAGTCTGTAAAAGTTGCGGTGACTATTTACGTAGTAGATTTTGTTAACACTTTTTAAATGGGAAAAAATACTGTAGCCGCCCGCACAAGTTGCTTCACAGAGTGAGGCACACGGATATTTGCACCGACAGCTCGCTGTTCAGCGCAGTGTATGCAGAGAGAAGGCCACGACCGGATCCGCCAGAGGAGCAACTTGTGCGGGCGGCTACAGCACAGAAATATTCACACAACGGATGTTTTGTCTGAGACTCACTAGTGAAACGTAGAATTAGGAAAACATAACACCGCTGGGATCTTGTTAAATATTCGAATCGCCGACTTGTACAACAAGACTACAGCAATAAATTTCGCTTGCTCGGTTTGAGGAAATAATTTTGACACTTTTGCTCACTAATGTCTACCGTACATGAATTTCCGGATGCGTCAGCTTATCCGGTTGCAGAACAGCCGCTGTTGTGAATGTCAAAGGACTGGCTGACAAATTGCTGCAAAACAGAATGATCGGAGAACATCATAATCTTCCCGATATCCCGCTATGATACCGACGCGTTAAAGCGGAAATTTACCCGGGCACGGTTAACGACATTTCGATGCTAACATTAGACGTGGCATTTATCACCAGAATCGACACCGGAAACGTGCTGTTAGATCGGATAGAGCGTGATCCGAAAATAACGTACTCTAACCCATTCACCATGCAGGAGAATGTAAACAGCGCAACCAGGTACAGAAGATGCATTTTTGCTGCTTATGATGGAAAAGATAGGGAAACGTTATCGTTGGGGTTGCTGCATTTCCCTGAAATCAAGCAGACTGATCGCGTATTTGATTTTTTGTAAGGCGAAGGAGTGCCATTACTCGAAATTTGGTGCATGAATCGCCAGGGGCTCGTGGAACCGGTTTAGGATTAATATGTTCAGATGAAATCAAACTCGTTGACTGCATTTATGTAAGAAGTGATACCGGCATAAACTTTCACCGGCTATGTATCCGATTGAGTGCCACACTGACTGTAAACAACCGGTTTGTTGTTTACGGCAATTTACTGTTTAATAAACGGTAACAACTTATAGTTAGAACTCTCAGGCTCCAATAAAAAAGCAGCTTTCAATGTTTTCAATAAATTTGATTAAGTGATACAGCTTGCGTTTCTTTTACCAAGCAACGAATAAGACTAATGTGTTACTGATTAGGTATAATGACGAAGATTTCTTGTTGTAGCGCTAGTTGTTCACAGTTAACTAAATGTGCTCGTAATTTGCTTTTTACCGTCTAAACATGAATACTTTTAAGTGTGAGTAGAATGACGTGAATGCTGTGCGTTGTTGCTTTTATGGCATCTGCCAAAAATGCACACTAGGTAATTGTTAGCACCTTAATATATAAATCTATTTACCAACTTTATTCAGTATGTTCACAAACGGTTGATTTGGCCCTGAAAAAGTTTTAACGAAAATTCCATTCCAGTTAACATGGGGAGGAGCAGTTTCCAGAACAGGATGGGCCCTGACCAGCGCGACAAATCATCTGTATGCAGGCAGTGCAGCATGTTTTTCGTGCAGATCGTCGGCAACCTCTACTTCTTCGGGTAATGGGGATTTTCGTTTGCATCATTCGTTCTATGACAAAATTAAACGCTCTCTTCGCAAAATTAACTGGTTGCCGTTCTCTCAAGACAGACCTATTACGCGGAGATACCTATACACCCGTTGCACCAAGGAAGTAGTGACAGTGCCGAATAACACTGACAGTGGTGATCTGATCTCATCACGGATCAAACATGCCATCCCTCATTTAAATCTCGAATACGGATCAGTATCGATCCGTGTTCGAGGCTCGAGCTTTAGAGATGGTGTGCTTGGATGGTGTACTCAATATATCGATGCGTCGCTTTAATTGCTCAGTTCAAAACATTGCCAGGCGAAAGCAGCAACTCATAATTATGTTGCCACACCGGGCAGTGCCCATAGGGAAACAGGTAATGTATCGGGTGTTTTTTTGGGTAAATGTTGAATTTTAGATCCACCGGGAAATTATGCGATTGGAAGCGCATCCACCATTCTTTTCGCTATTGATTAGCAGGGATCGGTTGAATATAGTTATGTAGTTTTAGCCTTTATTTAGATGATATAAGCACGCTCGTGTACCAAAAATACGTGGAAACCGATTGATCAGGAACTCAGACAGAAATGCGTAAACTGCTATCCAAAGCTGTCTGCCGTAGAACTTCTTGTTAGTTTGTCGAGCACACGTTTACGTGCGCTTTGTTTTTTTGCTTCTAGTAGAAGACTTGATGATTCAAACAAAACCCACCTTGAAGTGAAAATGTCCTCGGTCATAGCCTGACTATAATATTAAAGAAATGGTTGTGCAATTTTTACCAGAAAGAATTCTGGCTGTCGTCGGCTTTCTGCCGTTCCATGTCGTATTTTCATCATTCCGTAAATGGAAACTCATCACATTCAACTTGTCGATCACTGCTATATGCTTGGTAGTCGGCGCAATAATAAACGCTCTTTTCAACATTGCTATGAACATTGCCGGAGTCATTGAAGATCGATTTGAATTTAAAGAAGATCCAATAGTGAAAGCCATCAGCAATTTATGGAACTGCATTTTTGTCCTGCAACCGGTTACGGTTTTGGGCACCTGTCTAATGACGAGACACTGGTGGCAGCCAACACGAAATAGTTTACAGAATATTGTGCAACTGAGTGGTATCGCCGATAAACGAGCGTCCACCTGGAACCAGATCGCCACCAGTTTGTCCTTGCTGGCATTTCTCGTTGTGACTATATGAGAGTACTTCGATTGGCGAATGTTCATGGATGAGTTTCCGATCTGGTATCGCGGAGATTTCCAAGCCGGTTGGTCACCGCTCTGCATCAAAATCAGTGCCGTACAGGCCATTGCAGTGTGGGTAACGTTCTGTACGGTACCTTATTATTTAGTGCAACAGTTGCACCTCTGCATTTTCATGGACGCCATCATCTTGGTGGGCGTATGTGATGAGTTTTTAGACAAGTTTAATACTGCATACAACAGCGTTACTCACCGGATAGTATCAACTTATTGGTGAAAAGTTTTCAGTGTTCAAACCGAACTACTTGAATGTATGCGCGTACTGAATCACATGTATGTACGCGTGGATTCTCTGGCTGATTTTTGGCTTCAATATCGCCTTGACGTGCTCGTGTATAGCAATCAATTTGACGACTGCAAGATCTTGGACATTCATACTTTTTAACTATGTCAGTATAGTGATGTCGTCGGGTTTCGTGGTGCTGTTTTCGATTCCACTCGTCAGAGTTCTTGAAAAGGTATTTGGCAAAAAGGGATTGACAACAATATTATTGACAGAATTTGTTATAAAAACTACTTATCACTTCACAGGGCCAACAGTTGCCACTGGCACTGTATAAATTGCAAGTATTAGCACATATTAGATGCCGGCAGACGATGCAACACGATTTCAATCAGGTAAGTGTCTGCAAAACCAAGTTTTCAGTTATTATTATGCGAAGGTGGGTGTTTGTAGTAAACTAACGGTTTTTATAGGCAGGTGTGATTTCGCTCTTGCAAAAAATGGAAAGCACTGCCAGACACTACGCACCGAGATTTACACGAGCCAATTTATTTATTTTTTCCCGAAGTGTGTTACTTCAGGTGAAATCCGTCTTAAATTATTTACGTATTTAAGCGTAAACTGCACCTTGTGAGGTTATTTACGTTCGTGAAAGAAGCGCCGGGTCACCTTAAATAAGCCACAACTGCAACAATTACCGTGTCTCTTTAAGGTGGTCAAATTTCAAATTTAATGTATTTAGGTGTGCAGTATTTGGATCTCAGTTGGATATTTCGCACAAGAACTGGTTAACCGCACGAAAATACATATGATGTTTTCTGGAACGGGAAATGTGGTGCACTTTAGTCCCTCGTGTTGGTCAAACCGTCAATACTTTAAATTTCCCAGCTACCGGAAAGTCGGACTTGTTTTGAAGCTGTAAATATTTAAGCTTTAAAATATTTAATTTCTGACTGCACAATCGAGCTCTAGGTCGATCTTTTCGTGTGCATAAAGCTTGATTTGTTGCCACAGTTATGTGCTCCTAATTACGTAATTTTTCTCTTGTTCATATGAGCTGCAGCTCCGTCTCTTGGGACTGTAGGGTACAACATTATATCAGCAGCAAAAGTGCTGATCGCTAGTAATGAGGTTGCTTATTTAACCTTTCCACTTTTTTGTTCATTTAGCTCGCTTTTGGTGTACGTACGTACTCGTATATCAACGCCCGCAGCCTTTCCGGCAGGTTACCGTCTGCTTGCATTTGTTTACTTCTATGTCAGTACTGTTGGATATCTTGTCAAATTCGGCTGCAGCTTCGCCAAGATCATGTTATTTGCAAGTCGGCAAGTGAACGAGAATTTCACTACAAAACAGCACGATTACGAGCACCGTATTTTACGGCAGTTATCGGGCAGATTATCCATGCAGCATGAAGTCACACATATCTGTAGTACAATAATTATGAAGCCACGCAGGTGGCGCATCCTTAGGCGGAACCCGCGTAATACTAGTATGGAGTGTAGAATACCGTTCGCTGCTCAACAGGGTTGTAGTAATCGTATATAACGACGCTCTGACCCTTTAGATTGTCCACTTTGTAGACGCGGTACATGCTAACATCGAAACACTTCACGGCTGAAGATATCTGAAAAAGAATTCCATTAGGTACTATTACGGTATTACCAACAGACGTTCCTCTATGCTATCAAAACTGAAGACAACGATAGTGGGAGAAATAAATAATTATTGGCTTTCAAGTACAGATACTATTAGCCGAATGAGCTGTTTTTTAAGTACATAGTGCTTCAGTAACTGGACTACCTAGAGATTTTACGATGCTTTAACAGTGGATCAATTGTACTGCAAGTCGGGTGGCTGCAGCCTGCAACCAAACTGTACATACTGCGGTGTACAGTACAGTACACCGCAGCCCTTGACCCGTAATTTCCAACGTAAAGGTACAGATAATATATTACGTAATTACAGTTAGCGCAATGAACGATCGCAACTGCGCTACGTCTACCACATGGCCAAATCTACTTCTCTCAATATTTAATGTATTTATAAAGCAAAAAAGTTTTATATCGATAGTTTCAGATTTAGGTCGATATTCGACATACATCGTCCATGCCAAATGCATGTAGAAGTAAACAGTGTGGCGTGGGGCGCCGTAGTATTAGGTCTGGCGTGACCCGTATGTAAATCTGTGATTGTGGATGTGTATCAGTACGTATCTACTGGAATTTTGGAAATTCCATTTAGAACACGCCCAGCGGAAATCATAGAGATGCAGACTGGCTCAGTAAACAGACCTTTCAAAAGATTTTCTTATAAGGACGAAACTGCAACAGCTTACGTACCTCATCGAAATTCAAGCTGAGTACTGTTCCAGTTTTGTCCAGTTTGCTCTTCCGCAGTGCCGCTACCGTTGGTAAAAGATTGCCAATTTCCTCTTCGTCAAACTGATAGCCAGAAAGGGCTGTGACCTCCACAACCGCAGCGTTGCTGGGAACTCGCAAGCATCTAAAAGATTTTACGCATATTACTAAGACGGAAATTACTTACTAAGACTTACATAACCCACCGTTACATGCAGGGAGAACTACACCTACTTTGTGCAAATGTTCAAAACAATTTTCTTAGCGGCAGCGGTGCTGTTGGTAACAGTGATTGTCAGATCGAAGGCCGAGCCATTCGGCATCTGGACGGCACTGTATATCCAGGTGAGATATGCAATAGCGATGCCGCTTCCTTTCGCATGAACGGCTGTATCTTCCGGTTTATAGGAAACCTCAGTAGTTTGTATTATTAG